GTTAACTTCTCTTCTAGTAAATGTATCTGTAGAAGATAAAGAAGAGAAAGAAATGAAGAATTAATAATTCTCATATCTCTGAGTTTATATTATAATTATAATATATACTCTGAATAAGAAGATATTAGTAAGATGTCTACTTGACTCTAAGATGAATACTAACTTCATATTCTATTTCTTCTCTTTAATGAAGAATTAAAAGAAGATAGATCTGTCAGATCATATGAAATTTACTAATAAAAGAAAATATCACTATTTTAACATAATTCAAGTGAAGTGTGTAATCACAGACTTAGAAGAAATCTTTAAGAAGAGCAGTCTGCTTCTTCATATAGTTAATATTATAGATGAGAATATCATTCTAGATCTTCTGTAATTGAGAGAAAACAATTCTCTCATTAACTGAGTTACTTAGATATGATGATACTGTCTCACTGATAAAGAGACAGTGATAGAGAAATCTGAAGAGTTTCATCAGAAGAATCTTGAGAAAAAGATAGAGTTAATATACTATGTAGCAGATAACTGAGACTTGAGAACAGGTGAAGAAGTCATCACTCTCACTATAAAATTAGCAGCAGTATCTGTCATTGAACATGAATATATATAATATCTCTTTACAGATTATAAGAATGTCTTTTCAGAAAGAGAAGCAGCAAAGTTTTCTGATATCAAGATATAATGTAAGATTTATCTTAAAGACAGTGTAACAGCACTGTACAGATCTCTTTACAACTTATCTATAAAGAAATTGAATATTCTGTGTAAATATCTTGAAGAAGTATAATTAAAGAACTGAATACACTTATCAAAGAGTTCAGCAGAGACATCTATACTCTTTATATTTAAGAAGAATAATAGACTACATCTATGCATAGTCTACAGAGGCCTTAATAAGATAATGATTAAGAATTACTATTTATTATTATTAATTAATGAGATGATTGATTAATTATCTGAAGTAAAGATATTCTCAAAGATTGATATACAGAATATCTATCATAGAATCAGAGTTAACAAAGACAATGTTTAAAAAATGACTTTTTGTATCAAGTACAGCAATTTTAAATATCTTGTTTTATCTTTTAATCTTTGTAATACTTCAGTCATCTTTCAGATCTATATAAATGAGACACTGTGAGGCCTTGTTAATGTCTTCTGTATAGTATATCTGAATGACATTCTAATCTTCTTAAAATCAGAGAAAGAACATGATACTCATGTTCAAGAAGTGTTGAGTCACTTGAGACAGTATCAACTCTATACAAACACTGAAAAATACTTGTTCTACATGCAGGAGATTGATTTCTTAGATTATATTATTGAAGTGAACAGTATTTCAATGAATAGAAGCTGAGTCTCTGTTATTGAGAACTGACCAGCACTGTGAATGTACTGTAAAATGTAGATGTTTCTAAAATTTACAAATTTCTACAGATAATTCATCTATACATATTTACAGATTACTGTCTCTCTTACAGATCTGTTAAAGAAAAGTGTGAAAGACAGAAAAATAAGACTGTTTATTCTCACTCAAGACACTGTATAGATGTTTGCAGAATTGAAATAAGCTTTTACATATATTATAATACTGAATCACTTTAATTCTTACTTATTCAGTCAGTGTGAGACTGATGTATCTGAGAATGAGATCTGTGAAATCTTTTCATAGTTAACACTGAAGATCTTTCAACATTGAAAGAATTAGAGAATAATTATCTCTGAGAAAACAGATAATGAATTGTCTATGAGAGAAGACTTTTTTATAGAGTCTATAAGATACTATGAATAAAGATCAGTGATCTTCTTCTTCAAGAAGTTATCACTTATACAGAGAAGATATAATACTCATGATTAAAAGATATTAGTAATTATTGAATTCTTTAAGATCTGATAATATTATCTTCAGAATAGTAAGTATTCAGTACAAGTTCTCACTGATTATACAAATCTGTGCTATTTCTTGACAATAAAGAGCTTGACAGAATGTCAAGTCAGATGAGTGAAGCTGCTTTCAGAGTATAATTTCTATATCTGATACTGTTTAGATCAGCTTAATTCTGCTGATACACTGTCTAGATAACCTGATTATAATATTATTAATACAGAGAAGAATTCTATAAAAGAATCTCTGTTATCACTGTAGAAGAAGCTGACTGCAGAAGATTAAGATTCTCTGAAGCTTAGAAACAGCACTAATAAGACAGCTGTATAACTTAGTATAGAAGATGAAAGAAAACCTGAATCTCTGTAGAGAACTAACACTGAAGATCATAAGCTTCTTATATTATATCTTACAATCATTGAATTGATAAAGAATAAAACAGTCTACAATCTTTTAATCTGACTACTTTTAAAATTTATTAATAGATTACAGAAGAGAGATGTCTCTACTGCAGCTTGAATTCAGAAGTTGAAGAAGAAAGAATTCAGTTTAAACTTAAAAGAGACAGACTCTGAGTAAGACAGTGCTGCTAAGAAATCAAGTCACTGATAACTAGAAGAATGTGAACTTCTACTGCTGAATGATTCAGTCTTTATTTCTTATAACAGAGCAGTGTGTTAGAAGTTATTGAGAATTTATTATAATAATTCTCATATAGAGTACTTCAGGTTAGAGAAGACTGAGAAGCTTCTAAAATATAAATATATTTAAAACAAGCTCTAAGTAAATGTCAAAGAGTATATTAAGACTTATAATATCTGTTAAAGAATAAAGATTCTGTGATATAAGTAATATAATAAGTTAATATCACTATCTATTTTAAAGAGCTTATGATAGAATCTATTAATGAATTTCATAGTTGCTCTGCTGAAGTTGATAAGAGTTAAAGAATATGACTTAATTTTAGTTATTATTAATCACTTTATAAAGATAATCAGATATATCTCTAATTATAAAAAGATTAAAGCCTCTGAATTAACTGATCTATTTTTAGATATTATTATTTATAATCACAGTGCTCTGAAATCATTGATAACAGATTAAGAATCTCTTTTTATCAGTAAATACTGATCAGCTTTTTACTATTATCTTATAATAAGATATCTTCTCAGTACTGCATTTCATCTGCAGATAGATGATCAGACTGAATACTAGAATCAGACACTAGAACAGCATCTTTAAGTATTCTATTTATATTATCAGAATAATTGACTCTAACATCTTCTAACTGCTGAATTTGTATATAATAATATAAAGAATATAATCTTAAAAGTATCTTCTTTCTATACTTATTATAAATATAATTCTTCATTACTCAGTGACATTGCAGATGATGTTTTTAAAGAGAGAGATAGATAGTTAGAATATTGAATAAATACAGAGAACAGAGTATTTCTCAGTATCAGAAGTAAAAGTGAGATTGAAACTTTTAAATAAAATTCAGAAGAAGACAGTGAAAAGTATTCACTATACTTAGAAGTAGTAGATGAAATACTATAATTAAAAACATCTTTCAATGAAGTTCTTAATAGAGAATTAAGTACTACTTTCAGCAAAGAATATCAAGACAATGAGACTATATAAGAAGCTCAGTGAGTAGTGACTAGAATCTTTCTCAGTAATAAGAGTGATGAGTAAGCAGATATATAAGTTAAAATTACTCACAGAATTAAAATCAATTCATTCTATTTTTCATATTTTCTATTTGAAGCTCTATAAGCAATACTCTGAGACAGAGCTTTCTCAGTCAGATAATATTAAGATTGAGAGTGATACTGAATATCTTATAAAGAAAATATTGAATAAGTGAATACATTATAATAAGCTTTAATATCTTATGAAATGAGAAGATTATTCATTATCAGAGAATTTATAAGAACTGCTTGAGTATTTGAAAAATACTGAGAAAGAGATTATAAGCTATGAGATAGTTAGTAGAGATTACTCTGTTATATATCAGAAATATTGAGTAAGAAATACTGCTTAAGACTTCTTATTTTTTCTTAAAGAGTTTTTAGAGATAATCTTATAATAATGAGTCAGTGTCTTATAAGCTCTGTAGTACTCTTCTTCTATTTTCTCTTAAAGAGTTTTTTAGAAGTTTAATGAGATTATATAAGTATAAAATTCCTGAAGCAGTTAGAGAAAAGAGATATTTAAAATTAATAAAAAGATTAATATTATTAATCTATGAACTACTGCTATTCTAATAAGACTGCAGCTTACTGAAAAAGTAAAAAGAGAGAACTTCAGAGTCTACTTATTAATAACTACATTCTTATTAAACTTATTCTTCACTGTTGAAGTCTTCAGTACTGATATCTTTATCTGCTGAGAAGTTAGCACTGTAACACTGCAGAAGAGTATGAGAAATATATAAAATATTAACTTATTAACTTACAAAGTATCTCAGTCATCTATTTTAATTAAAGTGAGATTCTCTTCAATCAGTAATTAATCTCTGTAGTACTTTCAATAACAGCACTGACTAATCTCTTTTTAAAATCAGTTATTCTGAGATATTTTTTTATCTTTGAGATTTACACTTTCATCTTCTTTTACAGATAAGCAAGAGAGATCTTCTCAGCCTTGATAAAATCTATTAATACTTAAAGCTTCAAGATTCTCACTCTGTACTGCTTGAGCATCTGAGCTTCTTATCAGAATTAATATAACATCTTTCTGTGAGATAATACTTACAGAGAGACAGAAGTCATTATTATAAATATAATGAAAATTATGAGAGTGAGAGAAGAAACAGATATATAAAATCTCTTTCTTCTTCAGCTGCTTAGTGCAGTGCAGATAAGTGATGATATTAATCAGAGATTATATCAGAGTCTTTTCACAGAGAGAAGATAAAGAAACTGAAGAACTCTGTAGACTCAACTCAGCAGCATTCTGAGCAGAGCTTAGATATGTTATGAAAGAGAAACTACAGATTGAGCTTCTCAGAGCTGCTGTTCTCAGAATCAAGCTCTCTTCAGAGTCCTCTTCAAATGATCACACAGGGTTATATATCACTGTATTGATTGAAAGAAGAAGCAGTGTTACAATGGCAGTGAGAGAGGCAGAGAACAGACTGAATACAGACAAATCAGTCAGCAGAAGAGATGACACCTCACTGCAAGGTGCAGCTACTATCACCACAGCTGTAAGAGATACAGAAGAAGAAGGAGATGTGACAATGAGAGCAGTGCTCCCGCGGCTCATTGACACTGCTATCTTCATCTTCAACCTGGCTTTCTTAGCAGCTACAGAGGCCGCAGCTGCATCACAAAGACATTTATTACTCACTAGAAAATGTCAGAATAAGTCTCTTATTGTCTCTCAAGAATGATGCTCTCATGCACTCACTATTGCAGATGAAGAAGAGGAGAGAAAAATATATCACAGAGAGAGAGATCTTTTTGAAAAATTCTGTCACTACTGTTAGCTTTGTCTCTAAAACACATCACTTTTACAGAGAATTTCATATATAGAATGAAATATGATAAGAGATCTGTAAGTCACTTATTAACTACATTTTTCACATCTTAAATTAATATATAAGAAACTCACTTATTATATGTTTAATTTGAATGAAGATGAACAAAGAAAGATCTATACAGTCAGTAGAAAAACTTATCTATTTCTTTATATCATGTGCAGTATATGCACTGTCAATCAGTTAATAACTGTTATTATATAACAAAGATAACTTCTAATCTGATAATCTTAAGAATATAGAGACTATACTCTTAAAGAAGAGAGTATTGTTACACTCTCAGTTATATCAAGACTCTGTTACAGTTTCACACAGCTTATTACTTTTATATGAATAATTTTATTTCATCTGAATCAGTTTTTAATCACTCTATGACATTATTCGGATATATCATAGAAAGATTCAATTAATGAATATAAGAATCTCACTTCTATATAAGATCAGCAGATTACTCTTTCTTAATAATGAGATACTGCTGAGATATCACTCTGACTATTCTCACTCATGAAATGAGAGAAGAGTATTCACTCATTGTCTATATAGAATAGCTAGATGCTGGCTTCTTATTAAAGAAGTCAGTAATTTATTTTTCTTCTACTGAAATATATACAAGAGTTACTATGTGTCTCATATAATCTTCTTAGTATACTAAGTATTATATCTGTGATATTCTCACAATAACTCTGTAGTCTATGAGCTTGCTATTCAAGCAAGATAATCAAGCTCACTTATACAGCTTTTTAAACAACTACTTCTATGTGACACTGCTGACTAGCCATTGCTTCAGTTCCGTCACATTACAATATGAATGAGATATATGTGATAGAGAAAGAATCAATTACTGATATATTATATTAGCTTTCTCTTCTTCTTCTCAGAGTTATTATAATCTTCTCTGCTCTCTCTGCTCTTCTTATCTTCTATGCTGATAAGCTCATCTCTCTTATTCTTTCATCTGTTCTCTGTGTTGAGTACTCTCTCTCTCTCACTGTCACTGCTATTATTAATAATATCATATGATATCTCTCTTCTTCTCAACACTCTGTTCATCAGCTGTATCTGTTGAGAGCAGGCACAGCTGACAAGTCAGTCAAGATAGAATTGAAATTGAATGATAAGTAAGAGCTCATTATTCTATCAGTCTCAGAAATCTGAAAAATGATAATTGATCTTTTGTAAGAAGTTTCAGTGCTTCTCTCTACAGAAGTAGAAAATGTGAGGTTATATTAACTGAATAATGAAGATAGAGCTGAGTGAGCAGCTACTGAAAGAGAATAGATATACTGTCTGTCAAGAGAATAATAAGAAATGTTAAGCATACTCTGAGAAGAGAAGAGCTCAGATAGTCAAGCTCAGAGATTCTTGTTCTTACTGTCAGATTGTTACATATAAGAGCAGATGTAGTATTTTCAAATACAAGCGCAAGAATCTCAGTACATCTTTATTAACACAGTTATATCAGTTACTATTAAAGAGATTATCTTCTTCTTTACTGAGAAGCAGTGCTCTGACAGTTTAGATTCTTATTTTATTTATACTACTCTACTTCATGAAGAAGATTTTAAGTAGAACTCTAATAAATAAGTAATCTGTATAGATGAATATATTGAAGATTTTATACAGATATTCTTTACAAGTATCAGTTATAAATGTAAATTAGTTGATATTGAAAAATAATATCTTAAAAATAAAATTTATCAGATATTAGTTATATTTATTTTAAATCTTGATATTTAATTGACTCATAAGTTGACAGAACAATGCAGAAGTTCTATTATTAATATATTTATTAGCAAAAATGTAATATTGTATATTAAATAAAGATGAAGTAAGTAAAGCTTCAGTATATTCATTAATTTTAGTTATTCTTCTTCAGAATTATTTTCAAAGTATCAGATAGATTATTTATAGTAGATAAAGATAGTATATTTTCAATGAAAATAAAATCTTACTCTATATTATCATTGAATCTCTTAGAATAAGACTTAACTTCAGTATTAATAATCATATTATTTAAATTTAAGTTCATTGTAATTAACTGCTGCTGAATTCATACTTGATTAAAGTACTTAATTTTCTTCTTCAGATCTTTCACTTCAATTAAAATTATATTCAAGAAGTAAAATATATGTTTCTTTGACAGTAAAAGTAAATCTCAAGATAAGATATAATTATTCTTTAATAGACTTCTAGTAGTAGAGAATATCTTAAGCTTAGTAACAGCACTTGTATATTTCTCAGTAAGTGAATACTCAACAATAGACTCTAAAATTCATTATAGCTGATAAACTCATGTATTTGATAGACAGACTTAATTAAATATAAGATAGATATTCTTTACTGAATTTTTATAGCATTTCATCTTCAGCTTACAGCTATTATTAAGATATTTCATATCTAGATCAATTACTTTAAAGAAGCTGAGTTTTTCAGATCAGTTAATAAGATCTACAGCTATAATCACTCAATACAGAGAAGAGATTTTAATAGATTAAAGTATTCAAAAATAATGAAACATCTCAGTGACATAATTATATTAATCAGTATTAAGAAAGAAGATAATTAGAGATGAAATAAAGTATTTAAGAAGTTCAATATTATCATACTTAACAGCATAGTATATTTAAATGAATAATTCACATTCTCAGAGAAGATAATATATGATACAGAATTCAATATCTTAAGTAAGCTGAGAGATTTAAGAGTTAATTTTATTTCAGATATTAAGAGTAAATACTTTAATATATATATCTTTAATAAACTGAAGATACTGTGAAGAACTAAGCTGTTATATAATAGAATTAATATCTTCTGAGTGCTCAATATTACTAACTGAATAATTGCAATATTGTATAACAGTATAAAATAGAGTAAGACTTTGAGATGTAAAACTCTGAGAAATCACTGACTTAAGAAGATAATATTTCAGATTGATAACAGTTATAGAATTTCAGTTTTAATAAGTAAGATCAGACTGAATATAGTGATGAGTCTTCTCAGAGACTTCAGCTTCAAAATGAGTACAGATAATAATAAAGAGTAGATTTATTTAAATATAAAATCATTCAGAAATAGAATGAAGTTAGTTACACTATTCAAAGATATCTGTAAATTTTAACTGCTTTATCTTGACTGACTGAATAAGTTTTATAATCAAAGTATCTTTATACACTGAAAAGAGATGAGTTAAAAATGCTGTATAATCTCTTAATAAATCAAGAAAATTATTAAATATCTTCTCATGAACTCTCATAGTTTATGCAATAGTACTCTCATTTTCAAAAATAGTATTAAACTGTTGAAAACATATTCTATGCATAGAAAGTGTATTAATAACAGATATTTGAGATAATAAATTATTTATAGTACTGAAAACACTTTTAACTTTATTATTATAAATCTTTTAAATAGTATCTGAAATAAGATATAATGTTATTTACTTCTGAAGCTTATTATCATTGTCTACTATATCAGATACATCAATGATTTCTTACAGTGTTAGCAGTCTTATAAAATTATACATAATCTGAGTTAGATTAGTTTCTGAAATATCAGAAGAAATAATCACAGTAGTAGTAGTTATAGTAGTTATAAAATTATTATATCTGATTATTTCATCTTATACAGTCTTCTTGAAGTTTATATTATTATAGACTATAATTGCTTAAGAATCTTTGACAAGCTGCTGAAGTTTAATCTAACAGTAAGAATTAGTCAAGTGATTGACTCAGAAGTTGATAGAAGTTCAAAGAACATATCAGAAAATAATAGATATTATCAGAGATTATTAAAAGTTTGAGATATTCAATAGAAATATTAATAAGTTAAGAATATTAAGTCATATCTTCTTTTATTTAGTAATTTTTATTATTAATCTATTTCTTATTATATAGCTGTGACAGAGTTCAAAGTCAGAAATGATTTCTATCACTTATTATTTTACTTCTGAGCTATGAAAATATGCAGAGAGAATAGAGCTGAAGAAGTTTAAGTTTTTTAAGAAATAAAAGTGATATATAATACTTATAATAATAAACAGCTGTTTAATAGCTATTATTTTATCTGAGTCTCATTCATAGCTCTTTTAATTGATATATTTATTTTTTAGAATAGAAGTAAGTAGGTCAAATCAGATTAATATATCAGTCTGAATAATCTCAAAAGTAGTCTGAAAGTTGATGATATTCAGATCAGAATCATGATTAAATTTTATAAAGAAGAGAGTATTGATAAGATATTTCAGCTTCTATTTAGATAAGACAGTATAACATTGATTATTATTGAAATCTCTGCTTTGAAAAGTACTGAATATAGTGTATTTCACTGCTTTATAGAAGTACTGTATTATTAATAAGTTAAGATATCAGAACTCTAAATTCAAGTCTCTATAAAGATCTTCATTTCTTCACTATTTTACTGTAATATTCTGACAATGTGAGATAATTTCAATCATCTTTTCTGCTAGTTATGAGATATTATGAACAGATGCTGTGAGTCACAGCAGTTCAATTATAAACAAGCTTATAAAATATCAGTATCAGTATCAGTAATCTCAAATTCTGAAGAAGTATTAATAGATTCAAGCTCTGTTAAGTTATTATCTAATATATCATATTCATTATCTATATTGTTGAGAGACTGTAGTAATTGTAGAGAGAATTCATCTTTAAGTGATAAAGAATATTAACTGAAGCATGTCTGATATTGAGTATCTTAAGATTTAAAAGACATACTATCTTTTATCAATAATTATAATATAATGAGAAGAGATAGTGAGTTGTAAAATAGCAGAGATAATAGCAGAATAACTGAGAATTCAAAAAATATCAGTTTGATAATAATCAGACAGATAT